GGAGTCTATTGAACATTGTAGGGCTTAGCTCGTAGCTTCATTGCTGTTTTTCCCTCACTTCCCTTTATTGGTGATGAACGTGGTCACCAATCAGGGCTCATGTCTGCTGGTGTATTCCCATTGAGTCTAAGTCTTGGAACGGGGTTTGCCCTGAGGGAACCCGAGCACTTGCCTTGATGTCTCCTGGGTGGGCAGGTTGCTTGTTCTTGTAGTAATCAGTCAGACTGCTGTTACTGTTTTGTATTTTTCCTGTCGGGTCTTTCTTTCAAGAAGTATCTTCTGTTCTTCTGGTCACTCCAGGTTGGTCTGCTTGTCCTTTGAGGATTTCCCACCTCAGAAGATTCTGGAAACACCCCATTTCTGATCACCTTTGAGTTCCCCTTATTTGTTTAGATCTGAAGTTTAACAATGACATAGAACCTTTTTACTTGTGTGGATTTTTCTAATGTTTTAGTTTTTTTTTTTTAACTTTTTATTGTGAATTGGGTGTACTTTCACAGAGAGATCAGTTTTCCATTCCACAATTCACACACATTTTGTTTCATTGATTGCAATCCCCATAAGGTATCATCACTCATTCACTTCCCCCTGTGTTTCCTGTTTATGTTCCTCCTCCTTTCCCACCCCTTCTGAACTTAGTCCCTGGGTACATGCCGCCCTTGTGATCTCAGATGGTCAGTTACTCCAAGGAATGCGAATCTTACTAGTGTTATTACTCATTTTATAGACCTGTGGGGTTTTAAATGAGAAAATTCAAGCACGCTATTCCAGTGACGTGGAGCTGGTTTCTTTCACTGGAGCCTAGCTGGGCATGTCTGATGAATCCGTTAGACCTAAGAGTGTGGTATCTCTACAGATGCCTGCTGCGTTCCTATCTCCGAGATCATCGCTGTGGAAGAAGCCGGTGTTAACAAGAAACACTGCCCCAGTGGAAAATGGCAGAAGATGGAAAAGCCCCATGCTTTCACAGGTAACAAACCCTAACTACCCCTTCCCTCATTCCCCTGCAGATTATAGGAGAGGGAACTTTTGCGTCACTTGTTATATTCAATAGTTTCTTGATTCGTCTTTATTAGAAACTTTCTAATATCAGCTTTCTCGTGATCTGCTTCTGGTTGTTGATCATCTGTTTTGTTTTGTTTTTTTAATGTATTTTTGTTTTTATGTGAACTGAGTGATAGTTTACATGGGAGAACATCAGCTTTACAATCTTTGATTCATTGCAGTGATTACAGTTTCCTCTGTGTATCATCATTCAACAGTATTTGCTTCCATTCCCTCTGGTTTTTTGGGGGGGTAATGTACACAGAAACACTCAGGAATACACAGTAATTTAAACAACCAAAGGGCACATTCTGCAAGCCTGCCTCCTGGCCGCCAGCACCCAGTCCCTCTCTTTCCATTAGTCTAGAAGATCTGAGACCTTTGTTTCTGGTAGACCTTGTGAGTGACTGGCTGGCTGGGAATGTGTAGCTCTGTCGAGAAGATGATGAACAGCCAGAGGCTGCTAGGGACAGACTTTGCTGCTGAGGCTGAGGCTCGGTGCTCACGGTGTCTCTTTCTGCCCAGTGCACTGCGTGAAGAGGGCCCGACGTCACCGCTGGAAGAGGGCCCAGGTGACGTTCTGGTGTATGGATGAGCAGCTGTGCAACCTGTGGGTGCAGACGATCCGGGAGCTGCTGGGGAAGCTGAGTACGTATGTGCTTATACACCGGTGGAAACACAAGGCAGTCACGGTGGCTTGCTTACATGTTCTCCAGAGATGCCTGTACGCCCCTTCTCCTCTCCTTGTGAACAGTGTGCTGACCAGGAGGGAGTGGTGTTGTTACAGTGAAGCCATCGAATCACTTCCGACGTATAGTCACCCTGTGTAGGGTTTCCCAGGAGCAGCTGCTGGGTTTGAACCTTGCGGTCAGCGGTTCCACACCACCAGCGTTCTTTTGTGATAAATCGGTCCAACTTTGATTTTTTACAAAAAAACTACTTAGAGAGCCAGAGTTGCTAGGAAGACCAAAGCATGAACAGGTTAAGCTGCTCATTAAAAGGTTGGAGGTTCGAGTTCACACAAAGTGCCTCTAAAGAAAGTCCTGGTGATCTTCTGAACAAGCAGATCTTCAAACCCCTTGTGGGACACACACAGTCCTATTCCGACACACGGGGTCGCCATGAGTTTGGAGTCAACTCATTGGTAACTGTTCGGTGGTATGTTTTGTTTTTAATTAGGGGTCAGCATAGTGTGGTGGGAATAGCATGAGTTTCTGGCCTTCGACACTAGGAGTGAGTCCCAGCTCCACCCTCGGCCAGGCCATTTAACCGTTGGAGGCTCCGATTCTTTTACTGGAAAGTAGGGATAGTCAGTGTCATAGTCGCCTGGACAGGTGATTGTGAGGATTAACCCCGGGAAGCAGAAGAATGCATCTTTTATACACCTAGAAATTGTCTGTGTGTCTAAGGTGTTGTTAGTTCTGAAACATAGCAACCCTCTGTAAAGTTTCCAAGGAGTGGCTAGTGGGTTTGAACCATCAACCTTGTGGTTAGCAGTCCAGTGTCACACCCACACTCCTTATCTAAGGTATTTGTTGTTGGTAAGTGCTGTCGTTTCCAACCCATGGCAACCCTGTATAGGACTTCCGAGGAGCAGCTGGTGAGCTTAACCCGCCCATCTTGTGGTACAAACTGACTTTGCAGTCTAGCACATGGGAGTCTAAAGGATCTATTATCAATTGCTGTGTGTCAGCCTGGCACACTTCAAGAGATGGTGGGTGTTCTTTCATTTTGTATCTCCAAACCATTTCGTGGTGTTTGGTTAATCCTAAAACACAGTCCTGACAACTCAGGTGCAGACTTCAGCCGAAGAATACACACAGCATGTGTTTTCGGTTAGTTTTGTGT